CATGGTGAAGTGAGGGAACCTGAGAACACTGCTATATATACAAGGTAATAAGCTGACTGTGAAAGCAAACCATCACCATTTATAAAGGGAGGTATTAAAAAAAAAAGGAAAAGGAAGGTTTACCTGCATGCTTCCAACTAAACTCTCTGAAAGGCGATGCTGGGAGATTTGCTTGTTAAGCTTGACTGACATGGGAGAACTGCTTAGCAGACCTCACTCAGTTCAAGTCCTTACTGCCTGACTGCACAAGGGGCTCTGCTGCAGGGGATAGGGAGAGGCAAGTGAGGCGCCCGGGGAGCAAAATTCCTGGAGGCACTCAGTCTCAGCTGACCTTGCACTGTGAGTCCCCTGCACTTCAGCCCAGCCTAAAGCTAATGCGCATTCTGTACTGACTGAGCACGAGATGCCCATGGATGGCTTCAAAGTGGCCCTGGAGAGACTGAAGGTGCACTGTGGCTCCTTAATTCTGTAGACCTCCAGGCACTGACACTGGGGCTTGTTCTTGAGAAAACTACAGCGTGGCCCTTTCACCCAGGTCATCTCTTGCTTCTTTTGCCCGAAATGGTCTTCCTCACCTTGTTAAAGGGGGAAATCCTACTCCCCCTTCCTCTCGGCTTTCCCTTACAGAATCTATTGGCATTTGTATTTTAAAGGAAGACGGCAATTAATACAAACTCTAATGTGTGAGACTCACAGGCAGTGTGTGACCAGGAAGCTAGTGTCTTAACCCTTAAGGGGGAGCTATTTGGCAGTGCCTGGATCCTCAGGTCTAAGAAGTAACCAGTTGGCTGGGTGGAATTTGCTCCAGAAGCTAGCAGAAACACCTCCAATTGCCAAAAGAGATTCTAATTATTCTTATATGCTTTTTGGTTTTTTTTTCTTTCTTTTAAATTATTTATTTAAAATTGAGGAAGATTGCTGCTGAGCTAACATCTGTCCAGTCTTCCTCTATTTTATGTGGGATGCTGCCACAGCGTGGCTTGATGAGTGGTGCTAGGTCCATGCCCGGGATCCAAACCCATGGACCCGTGGCTGCCAAAGCAGAGCACGCAAACTTAACCACCATGCTACCAGGCCAGCCCCAGATTACTGTTATATGTTTTTAATAACAATTATTATGGTATGAGAACATTAACTGCAGCATTGTTTATAACAGGAGAAACAGGAAATGACCAAAATGTCTATGAAAGAGGATGACTAGTAATCCTAGGTGTTTAATACTATGGAATTAAAAGAAATTAGATGGAAGGCAGATCTATATATTCTGACTTGGAAACATATTTAAGATATATTTTTGAATGAAAAAGGTAAATAGAAGAACAATATATTTAGTAGGAGATGACATACAAGAATAACTTCCCAAATTAGTTTTGCATATTTTTTCTTGGCATGATTATTCACTGGCAAACACAAAGAAAAGTGTTTGGAAGCATGCATATTGAACAGATCAGAATTGTGTGAGAAAGGGGGCCAGGATAGGGGTGATGATCTAAATTGGCTTTTTAAACATAGAACACACATATATATATTTCTTTGTAAATAAATGTTTTTAAGTGAAAAGTCAAATGCTTAATTGCAGCATTGTAGTGGTTACGACATTAAATACTGAATCTGTACATATGAAATGCCCCTGAATCAACACATAGCCAAGCGACATCTGGGGTGAGGGGCTGGAGTGCCATTAAGAATGGCAGAAAGTTCTTTTCCAATTTCATCTACACTGTACTCTTGCCAACTCTTGAATTGATTACAGACACTGCAAATAAGAACTTGATGGTATGGGGCCTTCTTTGAAGATGATTTCAGGCCCCTGTCCCAGCTAAGGGTCTTCTTGTTCCTAATGCAAAATGTGTAGTTTGCACAATATGCTGATCAGTGGGGTCACTATTGTCACCTTTCCTCCCAACTTTAGGGGCCTATGCAGGTGGTCATGCCTCCACCTGTGAGCACCTTACTTTTGAGAGCAGGGCATTTATCCTACCTGCTGATGGCTGGTATTCATTGTAGGTTCTCCTTCTGAAAGCTTGCTCACTGCTGCTGATACTTTTTTGAAAAAGTTTGAACAGAAAGATGAAACCAGTGGATGTGTAACTTAACAAAAGTCCTTTGGGGTCAGATGCCATCGCGCAGTCCCCACTGATATGAGCAACCTCTGAGCGTGGAGGTAGAGCCCTAGAAAGTAATGTCTGGGACTTTATGATTCATAAACATAACTGCATTGAAAATATTTATATACCTGGACACATCGATGAATCACATTCTAACTCAAATTTTAATTTTATAGGGCATAAATGAAAAATCCCACTGAATAGGATATTATAATTAAACCATTTCTGATATTTTCTTTTACATGAGTCAGGATTTATTTGGATTTCACATTCTATGAAGCCTATTTAGGGGCAGTTAAAAATGTGTGTGTGTGTGTGTGTGTGTGTGTATTCTCCATAAACTGAAAAGGGAGGAATCACGTGCCCTCCTTCGGCCTTGTACAGGGATTTGAGTAACATCTGGAACAATTTGACCCCTCTGTACTTCAGCCTCCTCTCACAAATATCAAAAACAGAAAAAGAGAACTTCCTTGACTGATTGTGTTAGAGAAAAAAAATCGATTCTGAAATTAGCTTTAGGGGTTTCAGATGCCCTTTGTAATGTCTAAACATGCTGGTACATGCAAGTAATAAAACTCCTTTGTTTGGCATTCGTTAATTTATTTCATCAGCCCTTTTCAATTTTTTTCCCACAGTACTAGGTGCTGAAGACCCAGCTGACCCAGTACTGTAAAAATGCTATTTGTATTTTCCTCAGATTTTGTGTTATGGTTCAAATAAAGCACAAGTTATTCCTTCATTCAAAGGTTCTAGAAATCCCTAACGTCAGAGATAATATTTGAGGTACATGTCTGTGTTTTTTCCCTTCCTTTAAAAGAGTAGCATACATTATTTTGTCAATTTTTTTTCAAAAAAAAAAACTTTAGAATTTCAAATATAGAAGTACACAAGTGGAAACATGGAACTCCTCACCTCTGCACTGCGGCTGCCCTGAGAAATGAGAAGAGGAATTACCAAGTAGAACTGGCCTATTGGTGAGGTTTCTACCCCTCCCTGTCTTTCTCCTTCTCTTCCTCCCTCTCTCTCTTCTTTTCCTTTTTCTTTCTTTCCCTCACTAACTTTCTAATATCAGAATTTTCAAATATGCACAAATGAGAGAAAGCAGTAGAATAAATCCCTGTGCCCACCTTAACTCATCTTCACAAATTATCAATATCTATTCCTTTTTTAATTTTTTTTTTATTGGTGAGGAAGATTGGCTCTGAGCTGATATCTGTTGCCAATCTTCCTCTTTTTGCTTGAGGAAGATTGTCCCTGAGCTAACATCTGTGCTAATCTTTCTCTATTTTGTATGTGGGATGCTGCCACAGCATGGCTTGATGAGGAGTGCTGGGTCCACACCTGGGATCCAAACCTGCAAACACCAGGCTGCTGAAGTGGAGCACGCGAACTTAACCACTATGCCACTGGGCCTGCTCTCCTTTTTTAACATTTTAAAACAAATCTCACATATCATGTATCTCTAAAAGATAAAGTTTCTTTTCTTTTAGCCTAATCAAAATACCATTATCACACCTAAATACATAAGTATTTGATTAGTATAATAAATGTAAATACTTATATTTTGATTAAGTATCCCCTAATATCACCTGTGATGGTTAATTTTATGCGTCAACTTGATTGGGCCACAAGGTGCCCAGATATTTGGTCAAACATTATTCTGGGTGTTTCTGTGCAGGTGTTTTTGGAAGAGATTAACATTTAAATCAGTACACTGAGTAGAGCAGATTGCCCTCCTTTGTGTGGGTGGGCCTCACCCAATCCATTGAAGGCCTCAATAGAACAAAAAGGCTGACTTTTGCTGAGGAAGAGAGAATTCCTCCTGCCTGTCTTCAAACTGGATGTTGGCTTCTTTCCTGCCTTCACACTTGGACAGAAACACTGGCTTTTCCTGGGTTTGGGGCCTGCTATCCTTCAGACAGGACCGACAGTGTTGACGCCCCTGGTTCTCACACCTTCAGACTGGGACTGGAAACAAACCGTCACTTCTCCTGGGTCTCCAGCTTGCCAAGTGACCCTGTAGATCTTGGGGTTTGGACTTGCCCACCTCCATAACTGCGTCATCCAATTCCTGGTAATGAATTTCTTTACATATTTGTATGTGTGTGTAATAGAGACATAAAAACCTATCTCTGGAAAACCCTGACTAATACATCACCTAATCATCAGTCCATGTTTCAATTCTCCAAATGGCTCAAAATGTCTTTTTACAGATTATTTGAATTAGAATCCAAATATGTTCCACACACTATTTTTTAAGACTGTAAACAATCAGTTACAGTTGTGGAAAAGTCATGGAATTTTTTCCCTTTTATGGTATTTCTTAAATAAAATTGAATAAGCCCCACAAATCAGAACATTAAACACAAAAGTTTAGAATCTGATTTCATATTTATAAAGATCAGAATGCATGCCTTAAATGTGTCAAGATTGGATATAGAGAGAAAAGGAAACATATTTCTACTAACACTCTTGAAAAGTCAATGAGCTTCTTTTTTGAATTTAGGCTCCACATCTATAAAACAGAAAATGCACATATAAAATAATTTATTTGGCCTTCTGCCCAGGGATGCAGTGAGAGTAAAAGGTAGCTTCACATGATTAATTCCGAAATAAAGTATTAAAAAATAAAGAAATTTATATATTATTATCATCATCATCATCTTCATCTAAGGAAACTGTTTTGTTTCTTCATTTGCAACTGGGGTCATTCTCAGAAGAAATTTGCACTGTAAGGCAACTCTGTGTTATGTTACTAAAATGAACAAAAGCAAATAAATGGTGCGGTAATGAAATAGGCCTGGTCTTTGATTAGAAGTAATTCTGTAAGTTGAACATAAGCTGAAAAGCAGCAAAGGTTGGCCTCCCAAGGTCACTGCTTCAGACACTCACCCAGTACTGTTGAGGTAACTCTGCCCCAAGCTGCAATCCTTCGACAGAGAAGATGGATTGAACCAAAATGCCGGCAGGCACTGACCATTGCTGTGTCGCTCATAACCATAGTCACTGTTAGGGAAAGAGCCAAGAGAAACCTCTCAGTAGGTGGCAAAATTACTAAGAACAATTTCATGTTAGTCCATACCCAACTTCGACTCTAGTCAATTAGTCAAAAAACAGGCATTCACTGAGTCCATGTCTTTCCAAAAATGAAACGTTTTTTTCCAATGGACTACTTATCAATTACCCATGAAAATATCCTACAGAACCAATTTTGAGAAATGTTGACTCGAAGCAAAAGAGATGCCTTTGTAGAGATTAAGGCTCAATGCCCAATAATTCTAATTAAACTCCTTTAAGCTGAGAGAGTAGATTATGTTCTCATTAGGAGGATACACAATACTGATTGCGGTTGGGCCCAGAGAAAGCTGTAATCTCAGTGTAAAACTTCATTGAAGAGTTTAACACGACCACATGTGGCACAATCCTCATTTCTGGTGATGTCTTTGGGGTGCTCTTCCAAGACATCTGGATCTAGCAAGAAGAGCTGAGCCAGGTCTCTCTGTGCACAAGCCATATGCTTCAAAGTCACAGCAGAAAAAGAAATGTCCTTCAGGAGTGTGGCGAGCATTCCCCCAAGGAAAACTTTTGTCCTAGGTGGCTAGCACTGTCCATGGGACTAATTGCTTTAAATCTTCTCTCCAGTTTGGAAATAGTAAAAGCCTTTTCTCTTAGCCTCTTCATTCTTGCCTTCAGGGGCCACTGAGTGGCCTGATATTCTTGGCTTCTGGAAGATCAACCTGAGCACAGAGGATGACAACAAATTGCACCTCTGCATGCACTGACATATCGCAGGAAGCAATCAGCAAGCCTTACTATGAACTGACCCATGGAGGTGTGTAATGGAGGTGAGATGCTGGCACATGAGGGTCACGAAGGGAGAAATAGGGTCAGCTAACGGGCCTGTCACCAGGCAGCTGGCACTTAGAATTCTGCACATACCATCTGGATCTGATGCTGGTTCAACACAGCATGGGCAGGAAGACTTCAGAATTGCTCCCTACACCCAGTGTTCATTTCAGGGAATTACTTTACAAATGCTGGAGGATGACAGGCAAGGTCATCTGGAGAGCTGACCAGGGGAGAGCCAAGTCAAGAGAGAACATTCAGTGACAACCACCTTTCATTATGCTACAGTCAAGTGGAATCACTAAAGTTCCAGCTACTGGTAGGAACTCAACAAGGTCACGGCGAGCCTTCCAAAATATTTTTAGAAATCACGCAGTTACAAAAATCTCATTTGACCAGAAAACCTTACAATGGCCTTGTTCATGATTCATTTCCCACTTCTCATAAGACATTTGTTAGTGGGATGAGTAGCAAATTCCAATCACAGATGAATGCAAGAATTGGGCCAAGATTGAGGGGAGTGAAAGACGGGGGAGGGGAGAAACCTAACTGCTGTCCTTACCATGCGTTCCCTTTACGCTAGACAGTTTAACATGGAAAAAGGAAAACAACCAATGACCATGACAACAGCAAAAGACTGGCTTATTTTGGAACTTTGTCAAAAAGATTCTCAAAGGAACAAACGTGTCCAGGAAAAATCAGGGAATTGGGACTTCTTATCTCACTTTTTCTCTTTGGTTTTCTACTAAAGAATAAATTTGTTCTTTGCAAAAGATTGACTGTTTGGAAAAGCCAAAGTTAAACCACTATGGGAAAAATGTTAACTTCCTTTACAAATCCTCCTTGATGAGAGTGGATGAAGGAGAAGCAGTCAGGCTTTGGAAAGAGGGATGTGACGAATGACTTAAAAATTCCAGGAAACTTTTCCCTGTGAATATATTTCAGGGTGTCAGTCTCGAAAGGTAGGACAGAGATAAAATATTTGTGTCATTTTAATAATGTTGCACTGACTGAAACAGAATTTACGGTTGAGGAGGCCCCTGTAGAATTCCTTTTGAACTTCTCTGAAGCTCTGGTGCCCTCTGGCTGAGCCCAGGGAGATACTGCACTGGCTGTTGGCTTGCCTTGGCTACCAACAAGAGGGGAACAGCCTTATTGGTGTGACTGCTGGTGATCAATTTTGCCAGACCTGCCCAACACTATTTATTCAGAGAACATCTCCAGAGGTCTACCATGAGAGAAGATTTACTTTTTCTAAGATACATGATATGTACACAGTATCTCAGCCTAGTCACTGATGTTTTGATGATTAGATATGCGACCTGTGGTTGCTACACAGTAAAACGGTTAAAGGAATGACTTTGGTTCTCAGGTTAAGTTTCAATTGTTTAATATTGACATATATATTTTTCAACTGTTTTCTCTAAACTAAAAATATATAAATAAAGAAAAAAGAGGGAAAAAACAGAACAGAAAATAGATGGATATGACCAAGGGAGTTACCAGCTACTCATCCTCAATAATTTGTCAACCTCATCTGAATGCTAACACTGACCTAGCACAAGGTGAGGGCATTGCTGGCCCCATAAGCTACCTTTCTGCTTACCGAATGCTCCAAAAAGAATGCTACAGCACTCTGAATTTATTTAACTTCTAAATGTCTCAGTATTATTCCAGTTTAAATCAGTATAGTCCTGGTAAAGGGAGAAGTCTCCTTTACCACTAGGTTCACAGAGCCATAGATTGGCAACGCCACTGAATCCATCCTTGCATTGAATTCAGAAACGTCTGCCACAGCTTGCATAGCAATAGTCAGCTAACCACTGACTGAAAATTTGTAGGGATAGAAAATTTACTGTCTTATAAGGCCATTGTTCTACCATGGGGAACCCTAGATTCTAGAAAGTTTCTATCTCAAGTACAGATATGTTTGCTCTCTGAAAAGTCCAATTCTTGTTTTCAGTGTTGCTGTCTGAAGCAACTCAGGGTGGATCTGGTCTCTCTTTTTGTCCTAAGATCTAACAAATATGCTAAGATAATTACCTGCCATCTTCTGAATCCTCTTTAAGTCTAAAGAAACTCTTGGCTTTTCCATATTCACATGTATATTGCTAGTAAGCCATGATGGCCCCAAGAGGCAATTTCACAAGAATATGAAGCTTGTCACTTAGCTCTATGTATGTTACTATTACTTCAGATCTAAGTTTTCATTAAGGCTCATATGGATCTGATTCACAGAACGACTGCATGGGATAACAGCACAAGCTCACCAGTCAAAATCAGCCTCTGTGCATACACAGGGTTCAGACTCCATAGCTCCTGCGTATTTTCCTTGCATACATTTCCGCTCAGATCTTCGCTTCTTATATATCCTCTTTGCTCCCATGATGCATGCTTCCCCCTGGAAGGAGACAAGGATCTCACGCAGTTGGGCACACAGATTGGACCTTTCCTGTTCCACACCAAGACAGTTTAGGGAGATATTCTCAAACTTCAGTGTAATCTGGACTTGGGTAGCCTGCTTTGTTCTAATGGAATTTTCTTTTCAATATCTAGACCCTTGTTATAGAATGTGACTATAAAGAAAATCCTAAGAAGTGTTGAACGTGTGTGTATAAAAAAAATCCTTAATTCTTTATATATTCAGCAAACCTTTACTTGGCCAGGTGTTGGGCACAGTGCTATGAGGGACACACAGATAACTAAGACTCAGCTAATAACAAGTTTGTTACCAACAAATATGTAATAATTAAGCTCAATTCTCCTACAATAAGAGTTATACATTTGGTCCCTTAAGAGGACATGAAAGAAGAGTACTGCTAAGAAATATAAAGATCCATTTTGCCCGATGTATTATGCCTCTGCCCACACATTATACCACTGATTTTATGTCTGTCTACCAGACAAGTGAGACAACTAAATTCAGTGTTTTTCCTCAAAATAAGTAAAACCTTTGAATATCACAATGCTTGTGCATTCTGAAGGGGAAAATATCAGCCATACAAATGAGTAGTAATTTTACTGTTAAGTCTCCGAATACAGTACGTGATTCTGGCTGATGCGGCCCTCACTGTCAAATAGAGCTCTCCTTGTGTGTCTGAAGGACCAGAACAGAGATTTGTCTAAGCTACTATCAACTATCTTTCTTGAGCAAACTAATTTTAACTGGCTCCGTTACACATCTACATGTAACCATATTACTTAGTCAAGGTTTGGGGTATATGACAGGTCACTGCCTGAAGATAGTGATGGCTTTGCAGCAAGAGTCTCTGCCATGTCCTTTGAGAGATGTGCAGGATGACTTCTGCCTTAGGAAATCAAAGGATAGATGCTTTCAGCCAAGCATGTTGATATGAGCTGAACAGCTGAGGGGCCAGGACGAAGGCAAGCTTCCTATTAATAATTCTGCACACTTGTACCATGAGTACTTTGGAAGGAGGTAAGAAGCCCTACCTAACCCCAGAGGATCACAGCGGTCGGGAGGAAGGATGTTACTGGCACCGCTCAGCCAGTGTAATTTTGTTATTTTATGTCACCGTTTGCATTGCTAGATAAAATTGAAGATCCTTTCCTCACCCCTGCCCCCACCCTGCAATCACATGACACACTTAGATAAATTATGTTCAGATCTCTGTGCAGAGATAGTATTTCATTTTGAGTTGTAAGTCTAAGCCAAGCACATTTGAATTTTATCTCATTATTTCCTAGTACAATAAAAACAGAAATTACTTCACAACAAGTTATAAATATTGAGTTTGTTCACTGCTGTAGAACACAAAACACATAAGAAAGCATGAGATGGGCATTTTAGCTTAGAACACACCAATTCCTACACTTTAATGATTAGCTTTCCCCCAACACACCCCATGCCTCCTGCTTGACTCAACTGCAGCTCCCTTCCTCCTACCTGGCTATGCAGCTGCCAGGGTCTGTAGTCCTCCTCGGCACACCGTCTGTCAAAAATGGACTTGTAGTCCACTTTGACCAACTGCCATTCAGAGCGGTGGCTGAAGTGTCCAAACACTCTACAGAGTTAATGATGACAAAAATAATCACAATAATAACAATGCCAACAGTTATAACAACAGCAAGCATTGGCTGAGTGTTTACGACGAACTTAGCATAATCCTAAGCACATTACATCGATCATATCATTTAATCCTCAAAACACACTTATGTGGAAGGTACTATTATTGGTTCCACTTTATAAATGGGTAACTTGAGGCTTAAAGGGTTTTGTTAACATGCAAAACCCAAAATCAAGTCACTGTGAACTGGTAGTGTCAGAATCCAGGGTGTTTGACTTAAAAGCCCACTTCTATATATTATACCACACGAATGGTTGTCAAAAAAAAAAGATTGAGAAAACAATCACAAATGATGCAGTCTATGTGGTCCAAGACTATACTTCTAGCTTCTCTTGCTAATGCACAGGTTCCCATAGTTTCCACACTCTTTTACATTCCCACGTCCCTAGGGAAAGTGGGCAGCAGAGCCAAGAAGTTATATATTTCTTACACAGTGCATTCTGCTCTCCTTACTCACAGAGACTCAGGCAGTTAATGAGGTGTTTGAATCATCATTTGTAGGTGTGGATAAAAGCCACAAAGTAGCCTTTTCAGTCAGCTTTTTTTCATCTATGTTTTGGAAATATAAAAATTGAATAAAGATAAATATTGAAAAACTACTATTCTAGCTATGTTTACCATGGACAAAAGTGTAGATGTTAGGCATATTAAATTTTTGTTGATCTTTCTGATCATTAGAAAAAGGAGGGAAGAAAAAATTAGAAAATGTACCAATTGTTCCCTTTCATTTTTAAACTTTCATTGATGACAGGATCAACTACTTTAAAAGCTTCCCTCTCTATTTTCCATGTCCAATTTTCCAGGAGAAGAAAAAAAAAATTGCCACTTCATATTTTAAATTCAAAGCTCATGTTTTGAAACCCATAGGCAGGCAAGTCATTAATCACGTCTTTCACGAATTAATGATCATCACTCTCCAGACAAGAATGACTGCAAATATAATTTCACAAGAACAGATTGTTCTCATGGTTTTCCTAATATGCCTCACAATTGGGTTAGGTAAAGAGCCAGGGAAAAATAAAATCCTTTGTGGGGTTTTGATCAAGCTTTGTGTTCTGTCTTAAAGTGAAATCATTCTTATACGCCTGTGATTTTCTCTATATCAAGTGTATTATTAAAGTTGTAAATTTGTAGTTTTATTTTCTGTTGAAATAATCACTTCTAGTCTCCCTAAGCCCATTCAGTACAGGAAGAAATAAGCGGTGCCCTTCTGCTGCCAGCCCTCAGTGTGGGTTTCCTAATAATGAATAAAGAGCCAAGAAAATGGCCGCCCACATTTTTCTTTCCTCTTTGTTGGAGAATCATGAAGTTAGATGCACTGTCTTTGCTAGCCACTTCAAACCTAACAGTAGCAAAGTTAACAGGCTCAGCTAAAAAATAACGTGTTTCTGGATTGATACTAAGACTAGAAGACATCATAGTTTTCCACTTACGTCATGATTAGAGTCTCTTCCCCGGGCTCACCCAGAACCCCATCCACAAAAAGTGGAATAGATGTGAAACTGTATTTGCTCCAAGATCTCCCTTCATCAAAACTCAACCTAATGACAGAAAAAATAACAGCCATCAGATCTCAAAAGAAAAAAAAAAAAAATCCTTTCAAAGGAAAGATACTGTCAACAGGGAGAGAATTCATTTAAAAAGTACCCGAGGCATTGTCAAAGTGAGCCTTTTATATGAATAAGTGCTCTTAATTACATAAGAAGGTAGAAACACAGTTAGCCAAGTGATTTGGGACCCAAATGTGTTATAGCATCAATAAGGGAAGAACTGCGTGAAACGGGAATAATAATAAGTCTTTGAAAGAATTTTTTTTTAATTTGGATATTTAATTAGGTCTTAGATCTCAATGTGACCCGCTCAAAAACCTCTCTGTAATCTAGCAGCAAGCTTTGCAGTTGATTCTGAAGAGCAATGGCCTTATGGGACCTACTTAGATGGACTTGACGCAGCCCCCTCTAAGAGATGGAACCCTAGGCAGCAGCCCTCTTACACTGTTAGAAATCCCAGCTGACTCGTTGAGAGTAGGAGGAGAGAGGTCTACAAATCTGATGGTCACACAAGATGTTTCCTTTGCTCTGCCTTTCTCTATGGATGCCTTCCCCCAAGCTATGCCTCTGTTTCTCTTATTTTTGCAGCTTCCTCTTCAGTCAACAAAGTAACCAAGAGTGGAGGCAAAACAAGGTTTTTGACTTTGAACAAGCTCGCACGTGGAGAGAGACACTTTTAAAAACACAGATGAAGGAGTCTATTGGAAACCCCTCTGAAAGTGAGGCCTGGCACGTCCACCTGTGAAAGACCTACAGGTAGAGTTGCATAATGTCACCCTCGAAAAGGAATCTAAGGAGGTAGGAACAGGAGAAATGAGATAGGAGCAGAAGTGTCCTGAACAGCTCATGTCTGTGCAGAACACATATCATGAACACAAATATTAAACTCCAGGAGACGTTATTTGGGAAAGGTGACTGCAAGAGTTAAGCTACTCAGAGGTTATACCTGACTCACCATTCTACCCATGGTTATGCTGAAGGAATAAGGTACTGGGCGGGGGCGGGATACTGCCACATTCAAAAACCATAATGCAATTCCTCTCTCAGGGACAGAATCAATCAGCTTCTTTCTTTCTCTCCCTCCTCCCCAACTTCCCTCCCTCTCTCCTTTCCTCCACCTTTTGTGAAACTGAAGGCAACAATCCTATTTTAATAGAGCAAAGGTATAAATAATGTTTGAGTAGACCTTGACATTTTACTACAAACACAGTCGCAAGCTGATGGCCTGACTCCTAAACTGGTCTTAGCAGTGTGGAACTATCAGGTGCATGACTTATGGGTAATATAGGTGCCTTTACCAGAGATGTCGAATTGGGAGAGATGTGTGCTTCATAGCAACGAGGACTCCACCTTGATCCAGATACAAAACGCTGTGCTCTTCTTCAAAAATCTGAAAGAGGAAAACACAGACTATGGATACACATCCACATCCATGCATACCCAGAACTCAGAGGAGTAGGCTTCACATGAGGGGAAAAATCCTTCCCATGATAGAACTAGGTTTCCCAAAATCTTTGGGAACTACATAGGGTGGGCTACATATACCACTGGAGTTACATAAAATGATTTTAGGTGCACCACAAAAGAAATTTAAAAAATAAATAGTTATGTTTTCATGTCTATATCCCTGTCTTTTTGTGGTAAGTTGTTTAATCTCCATTCATGATGATGTCAGAATACTGGATAATTGTCCACATTGGGTAACATCCTTAGATGGAAGAAACCTTAGAGATACTTTACTTCAACTTTCTCATTTTTACAGATGAGAAAAGTAAGGTTTAGAGAGATGTGGTGACTTGCTTAAGATCATGTATATAGTAATTGATGGAGCTGGGACTTACAGCACTACAGTGCCCTTTCCACATGTAATTATTTCAAAGTTTCCAAGTACTATAGAGGAAAGGTGTCCTTGTTAATTCATAGATTCTCTACTAAGTCATAAAGTAGTTCTGATCAAAACGGAATTATTGGGCCCAGCCCTGCGGCCGAGTGGTTAAGATCGTGCACCCTGCTTCGGTGGCCCAGGGTTTCACAGTTTCAGATCCTGGGTGTGGACACGGCATCACTCATCAAGCAATGCTAAGGCTGCATTCTACACAGCACAGCCAGAAGGACCCACAACCAGAATATACAACTAGGTACTGGGGGCTTTGGGGAGAAGAAGAAGAAGGAAAAAAAACCAAAAACGAAATCATCATCTTTGAGCATATGTGTCATTGAGTCTTTCTCCAAATGTGGAGAAACTAATCTGAAGTCAAATGGAGACAGGCTGAAAACAATTTGCAAGTCCTCTCTATAAGATGCATTCTGTTTTCTCAGAGTCACATTGTTAGTATAGCCTTGTCTGTGGTTACACTACAGACATAATCTTTTTCCCCTTTGTTTACTTTTTATATGTAAATAAGGACTATAGTATATATCCTAAGAATACAGAAGTAGAGCCTTCTTTGCTTTGTTTGGGGTGGTGGAAAGAAAAAAATGGGATCCTGGCTCTCTAACTATTTTCCAGAGGAAGCTTAATAGTCCTTGTTCCTACATATCTCCAAGATCAATAGCCCTTGGGTTTCTTAAGCAAATTTCTTTACTGCCCTGCTCTTCTGAAAACATGTGAATCACACTGAGGAGCTACAAAGGGTCTGAAACTAGGAAATAGTAACTGGACCATAACATGAACATCTCTGTCTAAAATTTAAAGCAGAGTGTTCTCATGGCTGTGTGATTACCTGTGCATTAGATTTCAATTTACGGTGCTAGTTACTGTATGATAATTAAACGTCAGTGGGTTATTAAAACATATTTATTGAAGTGTAACAACCATGTATTAGGCACAAATCTTGTTATGATTGCTAAACCTCATTAAATGCCTGTTTTATGAGCTATGGGTATCTAATTTTCATTCAGAAGAAAGAAAGGAAGCATTTAAGCTAAACACATTGCTTTAAAGTGATTCCATTTCTACTTTCCTAACATATGCACCCTGATGGTTATTACTCTGTCTTTTGTACATGAGATTTAAACATCTCCGAACACCACTTGGGCAACGGCTATTTTCTCTATCACTCAGTTCCTCTCTATTCTGACTTCAAGGCAAGGGGACTTATGGAGGCAACTAAGTGTTAGATATATAATCCACCATCTAGGCACCATGTTCCCTGTACGATAAATTCTTTGGGATTCTGGTTTTCTTTTACAGGAAAAATTCAGAGAGATCTAATTCGGTTTCATCATCACTTAAACACTTTCTTATACCTGGGTTCCAAATAAGGTTCATTTTTATTGAAAGGCAAAAAAATCAAATTGCATAAATATTTGCTAAACTCAAAGACTTGTTCAAGACTTTCATAAAACAAAAAGGAAAATAACCACATTGGCTGGTTGTAGGATTTATGTGGAGCTAAATAAGGTCCCAGAATTGAAATTTGGGCAATTTTTCTGTCATTTAAACTTCAGCAATGGGACCCAGGATACTTTCTTACCTGCCTCCAGGTGTTCCCTGCATCAGAAGAGACAAACATGCTGATGTCGCTATCTGAGAGTTCAGAGCCAATGTTACCTAGAAAGAGCACACCACCATTAGTGAAGGGAACTCTCTGCAAAAGCTAACAACGGGCTATGCTGGTGTCCGCATTGCCTGAGATGGAGTTAGACTGTAAACAGCTCTGAGCAGGGCTTTTCAGCATACTTGCTTCAGGGTCAATGGTTTAGGTGCCTTTCAAAAATATTTTTAGCTTGCCCATTAAGTTCCAAGCACAGATAGCTACGTCCTTAAAATAAACACAATTTACAACAGCAAGCAAAGCAGGAAAGCTTCTTACCTGAAGCCACTATGATGCTGGGAGCTGTGTCTCGGCTGGCAATGATCCCTGATGTGTAGGGATTCTCAGAGACCTTAAGGTGAAGGTGCAGTGAGCAATAGGGCTGGGAAGAGGAGAGATGAGTGTTATAAAAGTGCATAGTCTAAACAGTCATTTACAGCCCAGATTTCAGAGCATCTCTCCAAACAACCACCCCTCCCAATCATCCATCCCTCCATGCTCCCATCCATTCACCTATCTTCTCATTCCACAAATACCTGGTGTCCACTCAGTATAAGACAGCTGACAAGTTGGTAATGGAGAGAGCACCTTCATTTTAAGTATGATCTACTGCCTTAATTGCCATTTGGTCATTCAACAAACATTTTAGTATTTTACCTGTAAAACCCTAGGTGTAGTTTATGAAAGAGTTAATTGACCAAAATTTGGTCTCTGCCATTACAGAGTGTATAATTGAAAATCTATTGATTACTATAAAGAGAGAATATTTTAACAGCCATAAGACCAATATAGACAAAATATGAGATTCTAGAGGGTGACAGGACTACGGCCAACTTTGGATCAGGGAAGACTTCCAGGGGAAAATGGTGCCTGAGGCAGAGATGGGTAGGATATGAACTGCCAAGGAGATGTTCACAGGGATAAGGAACATTTCAGGCCTGAGTAATATTAATAACAAAGAAAAGAAGCAGAAGAGTCGAGCTATGAGCAATACAGTACGTAGTCAGGAAAGACTGAGGAGAAGTGGGATATGAAGCCAGGAAAGAAGGTTTGGTCAGGCTGGGAGGGCTTGGAAGAAGTCAGGCGGCATCTCGTAGCCACTCTTCATTTGAGATCCTGGTCTCAGTTGGATAGAAGTTGTATGATGTGTCCTAACATCTACTAGATAATTTACACAGTGTTTCTATCAGGGTATTATCAGATTCAGTATTATTCAATATAAAGGTCATATGTGTAGACAAAGTGTACACAAAATGTGTAATAATTTAAATGAAAATTTAAGGGACTTGTTTACTGTGCATAAAAATCTTGATCAAATTCTCTGATTAAGATATCAACAGTTTTCAGAAACAGGATAGTACATCTTATATTAATTTCATTTAAAATAGTTCTTGTACTGAGCTGTCAAAAACTACAAGTTTGTGTCTGGACTCACATTTCTTTTCATCTCTCAGGAAGATTATTTTCTAGTCTTATCGACTTGAGTTTTTGAAATCACCAATGTATCTCTGATATTACTTTTATTCTGCCTTGTAAGTCTCAGCCAGCAGATATTCAGAGAGTTACAGAGGTACAATGATTAAATTTGTATGGGATAGAGTAACTGACAAAATAAAAATGAAAATCAGGAATAAAAGCAGCCAAAATACTGATAAAATAAAACAGTGGATCACAATAGGGTCTTTTCCTCACTCCCAACACATTGAGTAAAGTCTCAAGGAATAATGACAGAACTAAATTATGGGTTTGTATGAAAATTTCATGTAAAGTTTTCAAAAAAGGCGTTTTTACTTTGTAAGATTCGTAAGAATAAAGAAGACAGAACTTAAAGGAAGAAATAGTCAGACCCAAACACTTGGCTGCCTTTGTCCAAGAGGAAGACTAGAATAGGTATTGCTGTATGTTTCAGGGGTCCCAGGACAGCACTGCACAACACTCAGACGGGACGCACCAGAGGTGTCAAACCATTTTTCATGAAAGTTTTCCCGAGAGCTGCAGTCTATCAGGATCTCCCCTTTTCTGATCTACAACAGTTTATTAATCATGCAAAATGCTATATTATCTACTTGAGGAATGTACAGTTTTATCTCCCTAAGAGGAATACTCTAAAAACAAAGAGAAAACATCAACTACTACTTTGTGTCTTCGGTGGAACCTAGCAAAGAATCTAAAAGACAGTCCATAATGCCTTAAATATCAAGCAATACTTTTATGTTAGGACATGAAGGACACTACTTTACTATTTTACTCAGAACCATGGCAGAAGTACATGAGTTTATTTATAAACCACACTATCAGAGTAATGTGAGTATCTCCAGGACATTCCAAGAAGTTCATCACTCCTTGGGGATTATGTGTAGTCATATGGATTTAGTGGAGGGCGTTTTGCACCACCCGATAGAGCAGGACATCCCTGGCCAAGGGAGCACCCAGTTTGCAATCTTGAGCCAGCCACCTGCCACATCGGTCACCACCCAGTGGTCTGGAAGACTGTGAAGCTCATTGCCACCCCATTCAGGCATTATGTAATATAGGGCACTTGTCTACAAAGGAAAGAGGGCATTTTCAATTGGCCATCTCAGCACTGCTCTGTTGCTATGGTTTTCAGAGGCCTGAGATAAATTAACCTGAGAAGAAAAGACACTAGCTCATGCAGTAGCAGCAACATTAGAAATGATCTTTTTGGTGCACTTTTTCTTCCACTCTCACATTTGTAGTACTGGATTGCCCCCAGCTGGTACAAGGAGAATATTCTGTGGCTATTTTTTCTTCCATTTTTTCAAGGAAGTTATATAGTCTACATCAATGTTTGAAGAAAAACAATGTTACACGATTCATCTTCACCTTTTTAACTGAAGCTTTTGTACCTGACCTGTTTTGGATATTTGTGAAAGTCAAGTCACCAAAAATTCATAGAGAGGTTTATTATAATCGTTATCTAGCCACTGCAAACTCCTGGAGGATACAAGACAAGGCTTTCTAATTTTTAGGAACATTTTGCCCCGGCAGCGGGCATCTGTCCACCTCTCTTCCTTCCTGCCTTCTTTCCTTCCGTTAGCAAACGTGTACTGAGTACCTGAGTATCTTTCCAGAGTTATCTCCATCTCAGTACAATCAAAGCACAGCTTGTTCCAAAGGCATTCCTCTATTTTCTATCCCTTTTCACGTTAAGAAAATAGAGAATTACATCCTGAAACCACTGTGACCTAAGAGTGGACTTACAGAGAGTAGAGGGACCAGCATGCATGTTTAGAAGCTGCACTTTGTGCCCTTACTCACACATAGTCACAGGGCTTGGAATGTCATCAACTGGTCAATTTTAGGAGCAACTAGAGCCTTAGTCGTTAATCTTCTCAGGGTCAGGTACAGAGTTTGAGAATCTGAGACAAATTAAGGACTCTTTCCCAAGAAAAAGTGCACAAAGGCAAGTGAACACACTTTTGTATTCAATTTCAGGGAGGTCACAAACTCTTCAAGCCCATTGTGGACCTCTAGGTCCCTATTACTTTTCTTTTGCCTTATTCTTTTCTTTTTTTATTTCAAACAACAAAATCCTTTGGCCGTCACAAATGTTTGAGAAATGTCTGTTGGATTTAATTGATCCATTAAATAGCTATTGTCTTCTTAGCAGTGTGGATGGCCCAAAGAGAATTACTAAATGACAGAACATTCCTCCACCATAATATAAATCAACTTAAACAACTATTAGATTACTTGAAGGTCAACCAGCTACTCATTTTACTTCCTCTCACCCCTCCCCGCTCTCTGTATTAATAGCCTTTAGATCTCATCTTCATGTTACCTTTATCCCTATGGCTCCTAATCTCAGTATTTTGCTGAAAAGCCAGATCAGAACATTCATAAACAATAAGGCAGCAGGTAAATTCCCAAACAATGTCCCCCAAATCCACCCCCACACATATACATTTGTGCTGTTTCTGCGCTGTTTGGCCTCGCTTGGAGCTAGGAATCCATTAGATCTTCAGTAAGGAGTCAATATGAAAGATGAGGGAGACCCCTGGGCCATTTGCTTGGGTATGGGGCATCTAGCTCGGCTCCAATCTAGTACAATGTATAGATTCACAGACAGTGCAAAGGAAGTAGAAAGCAGAATCAAGAAGCAACTTGGGTAGCTGGCTGCTTAGCTCTAGTAGAAAACTGCCAACTGCATCCACAAAGAAGTCACAACCTCTCTCCATGAAACACTTTGCTTTCCCTAGGGGCCCGAGGATTTGTCACAGACTCAGCTCACAGATCTTGCCTCTTGGGAGCCCAATCCTGAGGCTTTGGAGGCAGGTGGACCATGACCTGTAATACCCCAGCTAATTGTACAATGCAGTCTTCAGAGGAAAGACATCCCAGCTGAGCCCTCCAGGCAATCAATATAAAAGCCCTAAAAATACAGCCCCAAATTACCCTGAATGTCTTATTTCTATAGAACACATTTAACCAGGAACATTCCATTTGGGGCTGTAATTCTGAACTTGTTCCACATTTGTGGCAGCCCTGCTGGAAAATCTCTTTTCTAATCACTAAGCTGTGCTTTTGGTGACACTGTCACTTTCCACGTACTCACAATCTAAAATCACTTTTTATCTCCTCTCTCCCACCAGCTCCCCAGTCTAAAGAAGGTTTTTAACAGTCAGGGTCTCCTGTAGCTCAAAGATGTTCTTTCCTGTTTTGTGCCTTTGGCAGATTTTTATAAAATGATTTTAGTTTCTCCTCCCCACTCCCTTTGTCATTTCCCCTCCTCACCCTGCTGTCTGTTTTCTAAAGCTCAGATTGAAATTACAGTCATGTGCCACATAACGATGTTTAGATCATCGTCGGACTGCATATAGGATGGTGGTCCCATAAGATTAGCACCATATAGCCTAGGTGTATTGTAGGTTGTACTATCTATGTTTCTGTAAAGGCACTCTATGATGTTTGAACAATGACAAAAATCACCTAATGACACATTTATAGGAACATAACCCTGTTGTTAAGTGATGTATGATTGTACATTACACAACATGGTTAATGATGGAGGAAGGCCAAAAGACTCCTGGGTACTATACATCTAGGGATCATTAATTCATCTTTCCTCAACCTTAAGGAGACTACTGATTTTGTCAACTTTTGGGTCAAGTTGAGCCCGTGAGCTTCAGAGATGGATATTATGGCAAATCCTTCAGTGTGGCTATCAGTGGCAAATATAGGCTTTCACAGAATCCAAATGTGGAACACAAACGAAACCCATCAATGGGGCATCCACTTCAAACAGACACAATACCCACAACAACAACACGTGTGTTGAGAAGCTACCATGTGGCGGGTAGGATTCTTGAGCTGGTTCTTTGGAGTGGCTGAAAAAGAGCCACAGTCTCTATGCTCATGGAGCTCCACTTTAGCAAGGGAAGATGGACAAGAAAGTCAACAAATGCACGTGCTGATTTCAGATAATGAGAGCGGTCATGAATAACAAAGGTTGGAACAAGTACAACTTTAGAGAATGCTCAGGAAAGCTCTCTGAGACTAAAGCAAACAAGCAAGGATGTGAACGTCAAGAAAAAGCCAGAGTAGAATGGCATTTTAAGAGCAATAATGGCAAGTGCAGAGTCTAAGACAAGGATAAGCACAGTGAGTTAGTGGTATGGAAAGAAGCACCATCCTTCCCCAGCGCGGCCTGTGTGTAAGGAAGGAAGAAAGAGAGAGGCTGAAGAACAGGCAGGAGAAACAGACAGGTGCCAGACCATATGGGACCTTGAAGGCAATAGTTAGGTGTTTGAATTTTATTCTACCTGAATCAGAAAGTCATTAGAAGGTTTAAGTAAAGGAGGGTAATGATCTGAATTTTTAAAGCTCAAGTTGATCCTATTTCCACAAAATTTTAGAAAAGAGAAATCTAATCTACAGTAAAGGAAAGCAATTAGTGGTTGTCTAGGGCCAAGACTAGGAACACTGACTGCGAAGGTGCACAAAGCAACTTGTTAGGGTGATGAAAATGTCCCATCTTGACTGTGGTGGTGGTTACATGGGCATATACATTTGTCACTATTCATCAAATTATACTTATAAAACAGGTGCTTTTTACATAAATATGTCTTACCCAAATCAAATTGGATTTAAAAAACCAAAGTTCAAATTGGTTGTTGTGTGGAGAAGAGATTGCCTGGGAGACATGGGAGGAGCAGTTAGGAGCCTGTCACTGTAGGGGAAGTGGGAAATGATGGTGGCTTGGATTAGCATGGTCCCAGCGGAGATGAGAAGTAAACTGACAGTATATATCAATATTGGAGGCACAGCAATAAGACCTCCTAACACTGAGCAAGGGCTGGAACAGGGAACACCTCACTAACTACTTTGTGTAAGAGGCATTTCTAATGGTCCATTTATGATGCCAGAGCATCCAGGCAAGCTTCTAGAGGTGATATGGTTAATTCTCTCTCATGACCATTTAATCTCCAAAGTGCACGGTGGGACGGAGGACCACATTAAGGCACTGGTGCATCTCATGCATCTTTGGCTAAATATCATGATGCTCCAACTTGAAATAGCTAAACTAGGAAGGTGGCCTTTTTTAAAATGCTACTGAACTATGCCTTGCATAGAGTGGGTATTCAGTAAATAACTGTTACATTTACTTACTCCGTCACCCACCGGCTTTGTGCACTTACTATAACAACTGGCTTTTTTTTCCCTCTGTAAGTTGCCAGTAATAACGATAGAAGCTGAGTGGGAGGCTGAATTTCAGACTGCTTCCCTGATGCACAGTGACAACGGTGATATCCTCTGCACTAATAAGGTCAAGCTTTGGCTGCTGGCATCTTCTCGAGTAGGAGGGTGACCCACCTACAGCTGTATGAGATGAACCTGCACGGTGACTGTTCAGACTTCTTGGGACAGAAGGATGCAAGCTGAACGTGGATAACATCAAAGTCAGAACTGTATGAAGAGCGTGAACACTGATGTATGTATTTATATATATATGTATATATCCCAAGCCCTTCTTACTAAAATAAGAGTAGGTCTCCCCTCTAGATTTATACACTGCTCTCTCCCTTTTATGAATTTAAATACAACTTCCGAATTGTTTTACAGAAATTAGCACGTAATTATACTTTCTTTTGTAATTAATCTCTTCCCACCCTCCTGCATTCACTCAGTATCTATCCATGTGTCAAGTACAAGGCAGGCACTAGAACTACTAAGGGGAGTGAGACGTGACCCTATAATCTTTCATTTATTAATCTAGTCTCTCTCAAGTAGACTGCAAACTCCTTGAAGGCACGACTCATCTTTGATCCCTCTCTCGGATGCCATCATATAATCAAACATATAAAGAACTTCAGGCTGATCTATTTATTACCCAAATGTTAGACATTAAAAGAAAGCCATACTTCAAAGCAGGCATCAGCAAACTTTTTTTATAGGGTCAGATAATAAATATCCCAGACTTTGTAGACCACACAGTCACTGTCATAACTACTCAGTTCTGCCATTGTGGAGCAAAAGCAGCCATAGACAATATATAAATGAATAAGCATGATTGTTTTCTAATTAAACTTTATTTACAAAAACAAGTGGTGGGCTATATTCACCCCACTCACCAATCCCAGCTTTATAGAATGAGACATAAATGAATGGAACATATAAAGATTACCAATAAGGGTCTAAATGACTGGTTCTTACCCTTTTTTGAGGCATAAACTCCTTTCAAAATATGATTAAATATCTATGCTGGAAAATACACCTACACAATTCTGCATTCAGTTCATCAATTCTACAGCTGAATTTATGTACCATTAGACCTGTAACAGGTTATTCATGGGAAAATAAGAGTGTATATCCCCATCATAGATGGAAATTATCATGTCTTCCTTTAAACTACAATTTGAGGTCCTCATCAGAACTTGGGCCGCAGCTGAAGAACCTTCTAAGTGAGCAAGAAACTTTCTCATGTTCTCTTATCTCTTTGGTCCATCACAAAAGGCAGCGCTGTGACTCTTATACACATTCAGGCTTCACACCCTTCCCTGTCTCCTTTGGTTCAACTGTTGAGCAAGAAGCCCTGCAACCATTTTCATCTGCTTGTTTAGCATCCATTTCCAGCCCTCACCGGGTGGGACATTCTGCCCCAATATGAAGACTCACCAGTAAGCACTGAACCGGGTCTCCCCTTAGATCCGTGTCTGGTGCCTGCAGCAAACGCCAGTCTCTGCCTTTGTTATAGGTGATGAAAGTCTTCACTTGGTTGTCAATCTTCTTGTTAGCCAAGAACATTCCCTTTATCCCTGCTACCTGGGAAAAATTGACATGGCTGAAAAATACATCAATTTGAGAATGGATATATTTGTTTACTTAAAAAAAGAAAGCAGACTGTCAAATTCAGCTGTGAGCAATTCTCTTGGAGGAAGGAGAAGGTAAGGATGGAGGAAGAGGGGGTGATGCTTAAGGATGATGACTTCCTGGGCTGTGGGACAGAAAGCAATAGATTAGTGCCCCTTAGGGCATGGGGGCCGTAATGTAAGTTTGATAGAGGCTTCTTATTTCCCTAAGGTAGGTTGGTAGGAGCTTGCATAGCCTAGAGATAAACTCTGGTGCTTTCAGTTCTGCTACTTGGTAATTGATAAATAAATAGGAGATACTTTTATTACATGTTAGGCATGGCACCCACAATCTTAAATATCTCATTTAATCCTGTAACAGTCCTCTTGGGTAAGTATCATTTATTCTTTTTTATAGATGGGAAAACTGAGGCTCATTCAGTAAAGTGACTTGCCTAAGGTCACACAGATAATAAGTGGTGACCTGGGATTTTAACACAGAACTCTCTGGCTTCACAGCCCATTCTTTTAAAGACTATCTAAATCATTGAGCTTTCTACAGCCTTGCGCAATTGAAAGAGGTCAGTTAAAGCTCAGGATCCAATTACTAGTGCTTTTTTTCTTTGTAAAAGATTGCTCTGTTGCGCCACCAAAATACATTGAACAAAAGAGAACAGCTTTTAAACTTAAAGAAGAGTGGTTTCCCTAAAATGTCAAATAATCCCTCCTTCATTCCTATAATACCTTTGTTCCCACTATAAACAGTCCTTATTAATTATTTGGCTGTGAAAATATGACTTCTTTTTCTCTTCTATACGTTAGGAAAGAGGTAACAATTCATAAATTGCCCAAGCTGTGCACTAACAAGTCATTAATTGTGCACTATATTTTTCATGTGTTTAAGAGATTACTAAACACATTCCTACATATTTTACTCTGCTTGAAATTATGACAATGCAAGAAAACTAGAAGGCAGTGAGAAAAGGGTCTGCAATGTGTTGAATGGTGCATTCTAACACTATGCATAGGTATCTCATTTAATGCTCACAATAACCATGAGATAGTTCTCATTAGCCACATTTTGAGGATGAGGAAACAGAAACAGATTAAGTGGCTCTCTGGAGCACAGATAGGGAGTAAGTGAATAAGTTAGCAAGCATATTTGAACCCATTTAATTTAACTCAGGCCCTTTATATTATAATATAAAAATTTTTAAGCACAAGAGTGAAACATCAGTCTCTGCCAAGTACCAAGCCCTATGTCCAGTAGTTTAGATACAAAACCTCAATATTCACTACAAATCTGCTTAACAGCAATCATCTCAATTCTATGGATGAGGAAACTGAGGTGTAAACAAATTTAATTGCTTAAGATAACAGAGAGTTGGGGTCCACACTCAAATCTGTCTGACTTCCAATGTTCTTTCAACAAATACAGCTGTGAACTTCTCAGTTCAAAAAGGTTGGGTTTCAACCAACAGAATACACACGTTTTGCCTTTGCTTTTGACACACTCCAACCTCATTAGTTTGTACCTGCTGATCTGGCATCTGGGATAATTTAGAGTTGGGCCAACTTCATACTCTTCTGGAACCGCAAGTTTGTTAAGCAAATAAATGGTATAAACGAGTTGCTAGGAGGAATACTTTGAACTACTTAGGAAAACAAGCCTCATTTGGGGCAATCAAGAGCAGCCAGAACAGTTTGTTATGCATTGTCGACCCTCAACAAATGAGGAAGACATCAATTCCAGGAGCACGCTACCTCCCATTGATGGTATGTTAATTACAAATAATATTTAGTTATTCACTATACCAGTTCCATAAGGACTACTCACCAGGGAATCCCATATTGGTTTTGCATATGTTCAAGAGGCTGTTACATATTTAAATAAGACTAAGCTGCCAGTTCTTTAAAAATTAAATTTCATAAGTCAGAATTTTCACAAAGTCATACTTGCCTTCCCTCCATGGCATACCCATATGTGAGAAACGACACTGTCTTAACCATTCAACACTCTAGGAGGTTACAATAAATACAGAAGGAATAAAAATATTACCTATTCGGGTAGTTTCATTGCCCATTTTCCTTCCTGCCCTCTCCCACTTTTGGCAAGTGTGTCAGAGCAGGGTTATGTGTGTTTAGGAGCTGGTTCATTTGATTTGCAGAAGTGGTGACTTTATTGGCCTCCGACTGCTTGGCATTATTAAATGCCACTTGAGCGGAGAGCTGCACTTTGTAATTCATCTCTGGCAGCTTGGCCTTCAGGTTTATCTTGAAGAATAAAAACTTGGCAAAGCAGAGGGAATGTGTGACAACAGGGGATAGAGGTAGAGAGGGTCTGCTTATTTCCTCTGGCGGCCAAGGTGCCCTGTCCGTGAAAATCCCATTTGAGGTGTCATTTTATTTTTTTGCTTCTTTGGCCTGGTCTGTAAAGATAGTCACCCCTGCTGTCAGGTTTTTGCCATTCACTGTTCCTGTCACTCTCAGCCTGAGAAGTCCATCTTTCTGTGTGACTCAGTGCAACCCTATGCCTGGGGAACTTTCCACAAGGGCTCTCTCATGAGGCCTCATCAGATACTTCTCGGCCACCTCTAGTCTCTCACTATAGGAGTTTGGGTAGCAAAGAAGCAGCACTGGTGTCCAAAATGTGGAATTTGTACGGGTGTACACGTGTGTATATGTATGTGCATGTGTGTTTATGCGTGTGTGTAAGGTCTGGGGTTCCAATGAGGATGAGTGGACATGTTTTTGTTCCCAGACAACCTCCCTCTATATCCACAGTATGTGCATATTTCTGGAATGGGGTGGGGCTGTGGGATGGGATAGGGTGGGGAAAAGCAATATTCCCAATGAAGACATGCCTTCGCATAGACACAGAGTTTCCAAGGAAGATCTTCCTATGGGAATGATACGTCCTACTGCTGGAAGTTTGTCTTCCTTCAGGGAAAGACCTCTTACTTTTTCTGCCTTTCTGAATTCTGCACAAAGATCTCTGAGAATGCGGAATGTGTTGAGAAGCTACTTTTCTTTCTTTGCCTTTCATATGGGAGAATTTGATACCGGAAGTCTCAAAGGTAATTTATAATTATTTCTTATTCTCTACTATCATGTAAGCCAAAATATCACTTTGATTAGACTTTAAATATGACATGTTATAGCTCAAAGCTCCAGCCAACACAAAGCCTATCAGCACGTTTACTGTGCCCCAGAATGACAGCCCCAAAGCACTAACTTCCCTTCTCATACTTACTCTCCTTGATCACACAGACTATCCCAACACCTTTGGATAACATCCTGACATGTCTCTACCTATCCATCCCTCAAGGCCCAGCTCAATCAGCCTTTTTCCAGAAACCAGCATCTCTTTTTTATCCTGAACTGTCCCCAACTCTTTTTCTTGGTCTTCCAATTTGTCTCTCATGTAGACAGGACCTACATCTTGGCTCTCAACAACTGTGTAAGCTTCCTACGGGCATGTCGTCTTGAAAACTTCTCTAGTACACCTTACACTTCCCTTACCACCAGTTAATTCACCACAGCTTCTCCTGCCATCTCTCACCCTATGGCCATTCACACTAATACACCTTTTGGATTATCATTCAATCCACCATATTTCTTCATTAAAATGAATAATAGAAAAGTCACTTTGTACAAGAAGTCCTATTTCTGTTTTTAATAAAATAGTAAGAATCCTGCATTAGAAGATATAACAAGAATAACAGTACCCCAAATTTTTTGAGTACTTATGAAGTGTCAGGCACTAAATAAAGGGCTTTGCAAGCGTGAGCACATGAATCTCTCCATGCATGCTAAGTGGTGGAGTCAACGGTATCCTCATTTTACAGATGTGAAAACCAAAGTTTGGATGTGGCCAACCACTTGCCTAAGGTCAGTTCCTGAAGAAGCTCAGAGCTGGACTCCAAATCAGTCTGTAGAGTCCACACTCTAGAGCCCACACATTTAACCATTTGGTTGTACTATTTCTTCAAACTTCTCCTTCATCCTAGAGTATACTGAGAGAAATATAAATGGATATCATACTTGCAGGAAGCTGCCTCTTATTCATTCTTCAGGACATTTACTCAATAGTTGTTCAATAAACATTTTTTGAGCATCTATTATTTACCATGCATTCTTCTAAGCTTTGGGGATGCGGCACCTAGAATGTCCAGGCAACTATACATTGATTTAACTGATTTTGGTTTTTGAAAGTTAGAATGTGCTAAGTGCTGGGACTTAGATTTCTTTGGTGATTTAAAGGAAGAACTCCAGATATCTCCTTTGTTTTTTGATATTTACCTCTAGGGGTTCCTCACCTGTCCCAATCTCTCATGTATTCCATGTGGAGGCTAAGTTGGGAAGACCCTGGCACAGGAGTTTCTGCTTATTTCTGTCTCTGATGCTGATTGGGAGATGATTCCTCCCACCCTCTCTGCCTCAGACTTTAATTGCAAATCCAAAGTGCCAAAATTTGGAGAGAATGAAAAACTCAGTCAACAACTGTAGCAAGAAAGAGAACACAGTCATGACTTCTTTGGGCTTTGGGGATAGGAAATTTTTCTGTCCAAAGGAGAGGGCCCCAGCCAGGAGAGATGCATACACAGCAGGGCCAAGAGTGCCCTTGTAATCAGGGAACCTATTGCCAAAAAAAACCTCTAAGTGTTCCTTCCTTCCCTGGTGCCTTGATCAGTCAGCACTCTCTTCGCAGGGAGAGAGTAGCCTTAAATAATTCTACAATATATTCTATGTCCTGTAATAAATATCTCCTGGATGGGAGAGCATTTTTCTTCCCTATCTCCTATGCTGGATTGTAAAAGGCAGTCTTTCCCCAAGAAATCAAGCTGTAAGCTACATTATCACAACTGTTGAGCTTTTTCTCTTAAAGAGAGGGTACTTATAATAGGCAGAAGACACTATGTGTGTAGCAGGACATGCACTGGTCATTGGTTATATCTTTCATGATGCCCACTG